GGGGGAGGGGGGGTGCTGGGATTTGAGGCGAGTCGGAGTTGTTGCTGCCGTTAAGTTTCGAATTTCATCCGTGGTTTATATATTTATATTTTTAACTTGAATTCCTTCCCTTTAAGCCGGGATGGCAGTGGAAGACAGGAGGGCCTGGCGTGTTCTGGTGCATGGGGTCACGAAGAGTCGGACGGGAGTTACCGACTAAACAACAACAAGCCGAGATAGGGCTCTGAGGCGTTTCAAGGATGGCGTGGTGGTTGCCCGCGTTGTTTATCTCTGTCTCCTCCCCCCCTCTCAATTTCTCCTTCCCTGAAGATACTGAGACGGTGGGTTCGTGGCGCTTCCCCTTAACGGCGATGACGGTAGGGGAAGGGTTTCCTTTCGGTGCGTTTGCCTGTGGGATCGGAAGGCAGCCCAGCCGCTGGCGAGCTCAATTTCGGGGAGGCGAATCCTCCAGTAGTCGTGACGGCTACAGGTTTAAGCGCTTTCAGAGACGGGATGGGACGAATTCTCGGAAAATAAGACCCATTCGTGCTCCCTGGCCACGAGGGCTATGTGTTCTCTCAGGGAGAACAAGCCGAGCGCCTCTGAACACCCCTGGCTTGGAAACAACCCCCATTACTATTATCTACATCTGTTCGGCCACGGTGGCAGATGGGAGGTAGGGCTGGATAGACCACGGCTGTGATCGGGCAGGACTCCTTCGAGAGGAGGAAGGGGAGCAGCGATAAGTTTCTGCTGTTGAGCTTGAATTGTGTTTTTCTACACCAGTAGTAGCTTTAATTTGTGAGTAGTGGCTTTGAGAACTGGAGATCCAAGTGAATGTGACAGGATGTTTTGCATTTGGTTACTTTCCAAGAGTGCCATAAATTTCCAAGTCATCTCCATTTCAAAAGCAATCCAGTAGAAGGGCAGATTCTGTAGTATCCTTGAATTTTTCCCTTAAAAGTACTAACAGGAGAAATAAGAAATGTGTTTTGGATGGGTATGGCATAGATCAGAAACAGGGAACTCTTGCACAAAATACACAGCTAGTTGGCATAAGAGAGCAAGTGCAGTAGAGTAATAGACTAGGACTCTGGAGACCTGGATGCAAATCCCTGCCTGTTCCTTTGTATATTTTGCAGTGTATCAGTGGTAAAATTGCTCCTGAACAATTTCACATGGCTTGAAAATGCTACCCCGTTTCACTGAAAATAAGACCTAACCTGAAAATAAACCCTAGTATGATTTTTCAGGATGCTTGTAATATAAGCCCTACCCCCAAAATAAGCCCCAGTTAAGTGAAACCCCACCCTCCACCATTGGATCAAAAATTAATATAAGACCCTGTCTTATTTTCGGGAAAACATGATATTAGTATTAGCAAGTTACATGTGATTTGACAACACATGCAAATCAGTTGAAGTGCATCAATTTGAAATAAAGAAGCACAATGCGAAAACCTTTGTTCTACTTGTATGATTTTCAAAACTCTGGTCTCTTCTGCGGCCTTATGCACCACCTAAAATCAATTCTTTTTTAGTCCTCCAGAGTGGGTTTTGGGACAACATATGGGGCTTTTTAGCTCATAAATTTACTTTGGAATAATGTAATAGGTCTTGGTATTCTTTTTAATCATGACTAATACTTAATTGTTAATACATAGTTTATATAGCATTTTAAGCTTGTTAATATTGTATAATTGTAATTGTTGTGAGCTGCCTTAGGTCCCCTTTTGGGATGAAAGGTGGCAGATAGATTGATTTAAAAAACATGGTAAAGATTCCAGTGAGAGTTAACTTCAATCCTGAGTGCCTGAGAAATTCCTTTGTAATATAAAATGTTTTCTGTATTCTAGGGTGTGGATTAGAATGAGCAAACGTAAATTGAAGGAAGATAGCTTTACAAACAGGGAATGTATTTCAAAGGTTAGTATTTCCTTTTTCTTCTATATGACAAATACAGTAATTTGTCCCTACTCACAAATGAGACATTTTTCCAATAAAAAATTGTTTGTACAAATGTTGTACTTGTAGATTGTCTATCTGACCACACGTATCTATAGATCATTTCTTTAGTAGATCCAGCCTGTCATATTCTCAACCTGTAATAAAATGGTTAATAGATTATTTTAAAACCAATACTAGTTACTATCCTACATAGACTATGCATGTAGCACTTACTGGCTGAAATCATGGTTGCATCAAGAGGGACTGGCCAGTATGGTTCTTGTTACTAGATGGAGGACTGTGTACAGAGAGGTATGGAAGTTTCTGGTATGGATCCCAGAAGGAGGTATGGATCATGCATTACACAGTCGGGGGCTCCACGTGTAGCTCTTGTCAGGTGTGTGCATTCAGTGCCTGAAACCCTACCACTAAGTGTAAGACAAATTGTAACTTTTAGTCTGTTACTCCTCAGTGAACAAAGTACCTCAACATAGTTCTCGGGGACACATGCACATGCATCAAGCCAGCTTCGCAAGCACTGTGATATTATTTAATTAGAATTTGCATTCCAGTCTTTAAATGTGTGTGCTATAACTTCTATCACTAGTAGAACCACACAATTTTTTCTGAGATGGTTCTTTCTAGAGTAAAATACTTTCTGATTGTCTCCTTGAAAATGTCCAGTTCCAGTCCATTATCTCACTCACATCAAATATTGCAGTGTTTTGAATGGTCCATTTCTTGTTTTACTGTTTTGAGCTCAGTATATCTGGCTTCTAAGCCAGGTGTATTTCTATTATAATACAGTAGGTATTAATTAGTGGCTGTTCCAACTGTCCATATCTGGCAGGAGGTGGTATTTTGGGTTATATTTCCATAGCGAGCTGAAACAATAATGAATGCTTTATTCTAGAGTCGTATTTCTTGTCAATGGACAGATAAGCCTGAGTGATGGCTCTTGGCAGCTTGGGATAGCACACTAAATTTACATGTGGAAGGTCTCTGGCTTGCTTGTAGTATGAAACAGCATACTAGCTCATTCATAACATGCTTTGTTTGTGGTGATATCGCAATATACTTCTGTGTTGCTCATCTTATAAAGCTTTGTGGTAAACAGACTTTCAAAAAGAAACAAACCAAAAATGAGTATGGAATAATCTATTAGATGATCTAATCTTCATGTTCATAAAATGCACTGTTCTATTCATTCATTCATATCCAAGTGTTGTATAATGTAAAATCAAGGACATATATGAAGTATAGATGAAATAAAAAACAAATTAAAATGCTAAGATAATCAAATTAATTTTGATCAGAAGCACGCTACTTCAATAATATCTCAGTCATTTGCTAATTTTTCTTTTTTACAAGAGGTGGGACATAAACTACATGCACATAAGTGCTGTGTTGATTGAATTTATCCACAGTCGCAGAAAAATTGTCTTGTATCCAAGTAAGGTAAAGGGTCCCCTTGACATTTAGTTCACTCGTGTTCGACTCTAGGGCACAGTGCTCATCCCTTGTTTCCAAGCCATAGAGCTAGTGTAGGTCTGAAGATAGTTTCTGTGCTCACATGCTTTACCTTTACCAAGTAAGGTAAAGGACCCTTTACCTTACTTGGTACCTATATACCTACTCACATTTTTTACATGCTTTTGAACTGCTAGGTTGGCAGGAGCTGGGACAAGCAACAGGAGCTCACTACGTTGCGTGGATTCGATCTTACAACTGCTAGTCTTCAGATCTTGCAGCACAAGAGGCTTTTGCGGTTTAATCCACAGCGCCACCACGTCCCTGTTTGTATCCAAGTACGGTGGTGCCTCGCAAGACAATTTTAATTCGTTCCATGGAAATCACTGTCTTGCAAAAACATCGTCTTGCGAAACGCGGTTCCCCATTGGAATGCATTGAAATTTATCGTATTGGGGAAAAACAATCCCCTCACCTGCACTGCCTTTGGAAATGCAGTGGGTCTCAGATGGCCTTCCCCCTCTTTCTCTCTCCAGCAGCAAAGAAAGAGGGTAAAAGGATTCAAAGCAGTCCCCTGGCTCCTGATCATGGTGATTTCTTTTGCCCTGATCCTTTGCCACTGGGGAGAGAAAGAGGGAGAATGCAATATAAGACATCACCAGGACTTGCTGCCTTTGCAATAGGTCCTGATGAGGGGAAAAAGAGATCAAATGGATTCTAGAAAGACCAGGGAAAACACAAATGCAATCCCCCACTACCACAAATTATGCAGTTTAGTTTCCCACATTAAGGGAAATCGCAGGGATCAGCAGACCTGAAATGCAATGGATGAGCCTCCCCCAGGAAAACCACTTTCATGACCATGGCATTTCCCCTGCAAGGTATGAGTTAAAGTGGCCCTTGCACCTCTTGCCCCCTTCTGTGCCCTGCCCCCCCCCCAAGGCATGGTGATCCCCTGGCTGCACCTCCTGCTCCGAACAGGGCTGCACAGCCCCAGTCTGGGGCTGCTTCTCAAAAAAAGCATGTGTAGTGAAACAAACAATAGCTGTAAGAGGTCTTTAGTGACCTTCTTTCTCCTCTCCAAGTCCTAGAAATCTACCTGGAGAATTCTAGGTGACCTCTGGGACTTGAAATCTTAGAATTAAGAAAATCTTATTCTGCAAGGCATCCTTAGTTGTAGCACTTGCTAAGCTGTTGAATACCTACAATAACCAGTGTGTCTGTTCTGTGCCATTCAGTAAAGGTAGTTCATATACATATTAGAGGTCATCATCATCTATATTTATGTCAAAAGCAGTCAAGTGGATCAACCAACAGGTTTTTCTTCTTGCCCAGGGTACTCATAGATGTGTTCACAGTCCTTGCATTCTTCAGGAGGTCCTTCTGTGACAAACACACATGAGGTGCAATTTATGTTGTAAGGAGTGCCAGTCTTTTATTTTAATGGAAGTTCTTATATTGCCATTCCTTTCTTAGAATCATAGAAAAGTGAAGTTGGAAGGGGGCTACAAGGCCATAAAGTCCAACCCCCTGCTCAGTGCAGGAATACAATCAAAGCATATCTGCTAGGTGATTATCTAAGTTTTCCTCCAATAGGTAACTGGTTCCACTGTCATACTGCTCTAACAGTTAGGACGTTTTTCCTGACATTCAACCGAAATCTGACTTCCTTTAACTTGAGCCCATTGTTGCGTGCCCTGCACTCTGGGATGATTGAAAACAGATCTTGCCCCTTCTCTGCATTACATCCTTTCAAGTATTTGAAAAGTGCTATCATATCACCCCTCAGTCTTTTGTGAAGGTTAAACAGGCCCAATTCTTTCAGCCTTTCTTCATAAGGCTTGGTTTCCAGCCCCCTGATCATCCTTGTCACCCTACTGTGAACTTGTTTCAGTTTGTTGGCATCCTTCTTGAAGTGTGGTGTCCAGAACTGGACACAGTACTCAAGTTGAGGCCTAACCAGTGCTTAATAGAGGGGTACTAGCACCTCGTGGAATTTGGAAACTTTACTTCTATTAATGCACCCTAAAATAGCATTAGCCTTTTTTGTAGCCACATCATACTGTTGGCTCATATTTAACTTGTGATCTACAACAATTCCATGATCCTTCTTGCTCGTAGTTTTGTTGAGCCAGGTATCCTCCATCTTGTAACTGCAATTGGTTTCTTTTTCCGAGGTGCAAAACTTTGCACTTATCCCTGTTGAATTTTATTCTGTTGCTTTCAGCCCAGTGCTCCATCCTATCAAGGTCATTTTGAATTTTGTTTTTGTGTTCTAGGATATTAGCTATTCCGCCCAATTTGGTGTCATCTGCAGATTTGACAAGCATTCCCTGCACTCGCTCATCCAAGTCATTAATAAAAATATTGAAGAGCATCAGGCCCAGGACTGAGCCTTGGGGTACCGCACTTGTGACCTCCTCCCAGTTAGAGAAGGGCCCATTAATCATCACCCTCAGAGTACGATTCTATAACCAATTGTGTATCCACTTGACACTTGACCTATCCAACCCACACCTAGTTAGCTTGCTAATCAGGATCGCATGGGGCACTTTGTCAAAAACTTTGCTGAAGTCAAGATATACTATGCCTACAGCATTCCCTCTGTCTATCAGGGAGGTGACCTAATCAAAAAATGAGATCAAATTAGTTTGGCAGGGTTTGTACTTGACAAATCTGTGTTGGCTTCTAGTTAATTACTGCATTGTTTTCTAGGTGCTTGCACAATGACCGCTTTACAATCTGTTCCCAAACTTTACCTGAGATTGATGTTAGGCTGATTGGACTGTAGTTCCCAGGTTCCTTTTTTTTTCCCCCCCCTTTTGAAGATAGGGACAACTTTGGCCCTCCTCCAATCCTCTGGCACTTCCCCCGTTTCCCATGATTTCAAGAAAATTTAGGCCAGTTCTTTCAGTACTCTCGGATGCAGTTCATCCAGCCCTGGAGATTTGAACTCGTTTATGGGGGTAAAGTGTTCCTTGACTGTTTGTTTATCTATCTCCAGCTGCAATCTTGTTCTCCCCCCCCCCACTTGCACTTCCAATTTGTTTGGAAGTTCATAGTCCGTCTTATGGGAGAAGCCTGAACTAAAATAGGAATTGAGCACCTCTGCTTTTTCTTTGTCCTCTGTTATCAGGTACAAATAATATGTGAATATTGCAAGTACAAAGAATTTTACATGCAAGATTTTCTTCTTGCAACAAAATGTAAAATTTCTGTCATATTTAAAATATTATAATTGAAGACCAGTAGAGTTTTCACACTCAGACATGTCTCATAGTGACTTGAGAAACTTATGTGCAATATGAGTACAGTGAAAAGCTTCTAGAACAGTGATCAAAATGCTGTTGATGATTTGATATGCATAAATGAAATCACATGTCATGACTCCAGATTGCTGCTAATCAGGTGCTTGTTGGATTCCTGATCACACAATATGTGTAGGATTCTTACATATTTTTAATTTGTATTTTATCAAGCCCTACAGGATAGGGAAAAAATCATCAGAATAATTGTTTTATTACTTTTAAATGATTGAATATTGCAGGTACAAAGAATATTACGTGAAAGATTTTGTCATCAGAATACAAATGGAAAATTATTTGGAATTGAACTCCAGTGCAAGTAAGCAAGAAGTTTCTTTATACTTCTGTTTCATGTAGTCTTTTTATTGTTCTCCATTCCAGTGAACACTTGTGATCCCTTTATTCTCCTTTGAATTTCAGTTAATTCAGAGATTTTTAGAGAAAAAGCAGGCTGGATCTAATAGTGCATGCAGCTGCATGATCCAGTTGGGGGAATGGAGTAGGTGATTTATGCTAATTTCCTCTTCCTAAACATCTTTGGAGAATTGGGGTGGCTTGTGGAAAACTATGGACATAGCAATGTAAGACAAAAGGAAATTAACAAAAACCACCTGCCTATTGGAGCATACAGTTAGCCTATCAGGAATTTCCAGTGTACCGAGTTCACTGCTGTGGATCTAGATCCAATCCACCTACAGAAGACTCTGTAACAATAGTGGGATATTTGAATAGGGTAATTGAAACAAAACTCTGCTTTCCTTGGGTCATCACAGTGTTTATCACAGGACCCTCTCATTCTAACAATCTTTTTGTGGTAGAGAGCAGTGCCCACATTTCTGCAGGCATCCTCTTTCTACCTGATGGCTTGCTGCCGCAGTAGCATTATCTTTCCATATGAGCCTACCAGGCTGTTAAGATCTAGCCAGGGGGGCCTTTTGAAAGAGCCATCCCTCAAGGAGGTAAGAGGGATGGCTTGTAGACAAAGGGCCTTCTCGGCAGCTGCCCCCAGACTGTGGAACGCCCTCCCGACTGAAATTCGTCTGGCGCCGACACTGATGATAATTCGGCACCAGGTCAAAACCTTCCTGTTCCAGAATGCTTTTAATTGAAATAACATCAACTGTGGGTCTTGATGATGGCAATTTTAACTGTATTTTAATCATTTTATATTTTATTGTATTGAATTTTAATTGTTGTAAGCCGCCCAGAGACCTTTGGGTAGAGTGGGCGGCATATAAATAAAATAAGTAAAATAAATAATAAATAAATCTTTAGATGGTATTGCTACTAGTTACATTGAAGTGAGAATCTCCTGTACTTCCTAGTTAACATACAATCATTTGAACAGATGAGGGGCATGAAAGTTGAAGTTGAATGTAGTACACAAACGTATTTGTTCTCTCTTGGTTTGTTTGCTTGTTCTTTCTATAAACACTAGCAACATGCTCATAGAGTATATAATAAACTTGGTGTTAGATTTTTTTCTGCAAACATACAATTCACATCATCCAGTGTTCTGTTTTCTTCCCTGAGAATTGCTAGCATGCTGAGTTTAGGAAGGAATACAGATTTGTTTCCTTAAAGGGCTGACCTCATAGATTTAACTCCTTCTCCAAGCATTTCAGGATGAAATACATTTTATCTTACAGCCAACCTGTTTTTATCTTATGGCAATCCAGAGATTAAAACACCAACTGACCTCCGAACATCCAGAGAGGTTGTAGCTGAAAGGACTGAACATCACTCTCTCCAGACCTAATACAATCAGGATGGTGGCATAGTTGCTGGCTACTAACCACTCTCTGCCATGTATCTGGTGGAATTTTTACCATGGTGACTTTGCACTTGCCCTCACTCTGCTATTAGGTGAAAAAATTATCAGTTAACAATACAGTGGTGCCTCACATAACGACGTTAATCCGTTCCAGAAAAAGCGTCGTTAAGTGATTTCATCGCTAAGCGATTTTAAAAAGCCTATAGAAACGCATTAAAATGCATTTAATGCATTCTTATGGGCTTAAAAACTCACCTGTATGCGAAAATCCTCCATAGCACCACCATTTTTGCTGCCTCTTAAGCGAGGCAAAACAGCGGGCAGCCATTTTGTTTTTGTGAGGTTTTTAAACATCCCCGGTTACCCTTTAAAGTTTGCTCCAGGGGGACAGGAAAGGCCGAGGCGTTGGGGCACTGTCCCCTCAGGGAATCCACAAGCGGGACCCTCGCGGCCCGGCTCCTCCCTAGATGTTGAGCTGGATAAACGCATTGGCAAAGCAGCTACCATGTTCTCAAGACTCACGAAGAGAGTATGGCTCAATAAGAAGCTGATGGCATATACCAAGATCCAGGTCTATAGAGCCTGTGTCCTGAGCACACTCCTGTACTGCCATGATGTCTGGACTCTTCGTGCACAGCAGGAGAGGAAGCTGAAAACGTTCCACATGCGTCGTCTCCGACGGATTTTTGGTATCATCTGGCAGGACAAAGTTCCCAATAGAGTAGTCCTAGAACGAGCTGGAATTTTTAGCATGTCTACATTACTGAAACAGCCATGTCTACGTTGGCTTGGGCACATCGTGAGAATGGCTGATGGTCGGATTCCAAAGAATCTCCTGTATGGAGAATTAGTGCAGGGAAATCGCCCCAGAGGGAAACCACAGCTGCGATACAAGGATATCTGCAAGCGGGATTTGAAGACCTTAGGAATGGACCTCAACAGATGGGAAACCCTGACATCGGAGCGTTCAGCCTGGAGGCAGGCAGTGCATCATGGCCTCTCCCAATTTGAAGAGACCCTTGTCCAGCAGGCTGAGGCAAAGAGGCAGTCCCGGAAGCAGCAAAATCAGGGAACTGGACAGGGGAGAGATTGTATTTGTCCTCATTGTGGAAGGGATTGTCACTTTCGAATTGGCCTCCTCTGCCACACTAGATGGTGTTCCAAGTCCTCCATACATACCATGTTACCATAGTCTCTCGAGACTGAAGGATGCTAAACAATGTGCTATTAATGTCCCAGCTCTAGTGAGGTAAGGTAAAGGTAAAGGTTCCCCTTGACAATTTTTGTCCAGTCGTGTCCGACTCTAGGGGGCGGCGCTCATCCCGCTCTTCAAGCCATAGAGCCAGCGTTTGTCCGAAGACGATCTTTCTGTGGTCACATGGCCAGTGTGATTTAGACACGGAACGCTGTGAGGTACTGATTCTGAAATTCTGTTGATGGAGTCAGTAGCTTCATCCAGCATTTTCATTGCAGTGCCTTTTCTGGTAGTTTTGAACAGTTTAAAATTACTATGTTTTGAATGATAGTTTTTCTTTCATATGTGGATAACTGTTTCCCCACCACACCACCCTGATCCTTACATCTCTGAGTGGTAGTTGTGTTATTTTCCCTCCACAGGCAGTTACTTGAACTGTTAAAACGCACTGCTATTCATGGTGAAAGCAATTCTGTACTCATTATTGGACCTCGAGGATCAGGAAAGACTGTGGTAATACTTTTAATTCAGTTTTAATTTTGCATACTGAATTTCATATAAACACTTGTGAATCTGTATTTGCGAAGGCTTGTGAATCTTCTATTCAAAAAGTTTAATATCCTGATGTTCGGTAAATACTGGCTTTCTGAGAAAGAAATTTCATATTCAAAATGCTTTAATTTGTTTTGATTTAATTACTTACGTGGATTTTGTATTGGATACTTTAGACTTAAATCCATGTACTAGTCCCCACTAGAGTAGACCCAGTGAATTAATGGAATGTATATGCATTTTGACTCACTTTTGGGAATTGAAGGTCAACTCTTGTCATTTAAATCTTTATTCCTAAAGATCTAAGGCATTAGTGTTGCTATATTTTCTTCAATCTAACATGTGTGACAATGTCTATGGGTCGCATAAGTAAAAATAGCATGTTTGAAGTTTATTTGCTCAGGTAAAATAGTAACAAATGGCATAAGAATTACTGTACAACCTTTTTCATTGTAAAGATTTAATTATTTTTATCCTTTTTAGTTACTATGTCATGTCTTAAAAAAGCTCATGGAAGTAAAGCAAGTAAGGGATAACACCTTACAGGTTCAATTGAATGGTATGTAATACTTTGTATATAATGTACTGTGTTTCCCTGAAAATAAGTCAGGATCTTATATTAATTTTTGCTCCAAAAATGCATTAGGGTTTATTATCAGGGGATTTTTTTCATTTACAACTATTGTATCTACATTTATTCATATACGGTCATGTCATCGTCTTCTGGTTGCTGCACAATAGTGGTGGGTGGGGTTTCACTTAACTAGAGCTTATTTTGGGGGTAGGGCTTATATTACGAACATCCTAAAAAATCATACTAGGACTTATTTTCATGTTAGGTCTTATTTTGGGGGGAAAGTGTATGTTTTGTATGTAACATGTTATGTCACAAAATAGAATTTTCTTTGGCTGGCTCTAATTCCACCTTGTGTATAACCTAGAATTGGTCTGTGGAAAGTTAAAATTGAAAGGAAGTATCAAATGGTGTAATTTAAAGCAGGTTTATGTGACCAGTTCTAATACTGGGTTTGTTTTAGTGTAGCATTTTTGACCTCTTAGGTTTCTCAAAAGTATTACAGAAACTATAGTATGCAAACCGATTTGCATTTATCTTCTAAAATTTACAAACTGTAATCAAACTGTATTTTGCAATTATGGTTCAGAGGCTGTATGTTTAACAGGGATAAGTGCAAAGTTCTACACTGGGGGGGGGGGGAAATGAACAATTACAAGATGGAGGATACTTGGTTCAGTACCATGACTAAGGGGGATATTGGAATTGTTCTGGATCACAAGCTAAATAAGAGACAAAACTGTGGCTCAAAAAAAAAAGACCAACACTATTTTAGGCTGCATTAACAAAAGTATAGTCTCAAAATCCTGTGAAGTATTAGTTCCCCTCTGTTCAACACTGGTTAGGCCTCATCTAGAATACTCTGTCCAGTTCTGGACAGTGCACTTTAAGAAGGATGCTAACAAACTAGAATTAAGTTCAGAGGAGGGCAAGACGGATGATGGGGTTGGAAACCAAGTCCTATGAGAAAAGACTGAAAGAACTGGGCATTTTTAGCCTTGAGAAACAAAGACTGCGTATGAGATATGATAGCACTCTACAAATATTTGTTATACAGAGGAGGGGCAGGATCTCTTCTCAGTCTTCCCGGAGTGCAGGATATGTAATAATGGGCTCCTGTTACACGGAGCCACATTTCAGTTGAATATCAGGAAAAACTTCCTGTTTACAACAATATGATACAGTAATGGAATGAGTTAATATGGAAGGTGGTGAGCAATCCAATGCAAGACGCTTTCAAGAGAAATATTAGATAACCATATGTCAGAGACATTTTGATTCGGATTCCTGTACTGAGCAGAAGGTTGGACTTAATGGACTTATAAGCCTCTTCCAGCGCCGATTGATTGATTTGATTTGATTTATACCCCACCCATCTGGCCTATAAGACCACTCTAGGCGGCCGTTATACTATGATTCTATGCAAAACCATAGATTGTACATGCCGATGTTGTGGTGCTCTAAAAAAGATCTATGAGAATAGAAGGGAGTGGAGGGGGGAGCATAAATACATTCATATGAAAGGAATTCTAAAATGTATTTTGCTTGTTTTTTTAAATATAAACTACCTATATTTTTGCAGTAGATGACATGCACCTACTTACAGGAAAGGTAAAAAAATCTAAAATATTATAATATATTTTCTGTTGTCTCCTAGGATTATTACAGACAAATGATAAAATTGCTCTTAAGGAGATAACAAGACAACTGAATCTGGAAAATGTGGTTGGAGATAAAGTTTTTGTAAGTTAAAAAGACAACGTGACAACATTAAAGTATATTGTCCCTTGTTCTATAAGACAGGTTGTGCCTCATGGAGCAGTTGTACTGTCTGGGGGTGAGAGGAAAAATTGTCATGTTTTGAGCAAATTCCCCTGTGTTCTTGCTACCCAACTCTTTATTGTAATAATAGCCAGTAGTAGTAAGTTTTGGCTACTAGTAGGTGACAAGAGGCTTTCATTGAAAAACTCAATTTGTTAAAAAAAATGAACATGGGGCACGTGTGTGCTACTGAAATGAGCATGGGCTTCCCAAGATCCAGGGATGTGAATGTGTAGCATTCAGACTTTCATAGGTTGTGGTGCCTATTGTAGAGTTTCGAAATCAACATACATTCTGCACTTGTAGCAATATCTACCGCGCTTCCCCGAAAATAAGACAGGGTCTTACATTAATTTTTGCTCCAAAAACGCATTAGGGCTTATTTTCAGGGGATTTTTTATTATTTATTTATTTTTTATTTAATGTCATTTCTGGTTGCAGCACCATGCTGCACAATGGTGGAGGGTGGGGTTTCACTTAACTAGGGCTTATTTTTGGGGTAGGGCTTATATTACGAGCATCCTGAAAAATCATACTAGGGCTTATTTTCAGGTTAGGGCTTATTTTCGGGGAAACAGGGTAATTGTAGTGATATTATAACTATTAAATAAAATAGTGTACTGGGTTTGCTTTAATGCAGTTCTTACTTTAAGATGTGCTACATTAAAAGACCTATAAATAGTGTTCCAATTATTTTCCAGGAATAAATACAAGTCAGGCATATGTTCTGTGTAGACTAGGTATAAATTTGTGCCATAGCAATTGGGGTGATTACTTAAATCAGAGTCAGGATGTTTATATGTAAGAAATTGAAAGCTGTGTTGGTGTTTAAGTGAATGTCTTCCATTTTCCAGCTGCATGTTGATTAAGCAAACTCTAGTGTCTTAATAATATGCAGTGAAACATAAAGCAACTGAGAGCTCCATATATCACATGTGCTTAGGGTAAAGATGTTGGGATTGTCAGTTGCTTGTTGAACAGGTTCCTAGTAAGGAAGGCTGCATCTAGACTTGGTTATCTACATATCATCAGACACCATACAGATAGTATTTCCTGAATAATTCTACATCAGCTAGTAAAGAGCATACTCTCACATAGTATGTGGAGGCTTTGTAAACTACATTGTTCACATATTTGCTTTCTTTGTTTTGGATATTAGGTTGGGTTAGAATTTGTGCATGTTTTTCAGAGGTAGATAAGAAATTATCATGTACTTGAACCTTGAGCATTGAGCCATGGAAGTTACCTTTTGTTACAATAGATTGCACGTGAAACTACAGCTGTTGTTATAACATATATGTTAAACTTATACACACATATAATGCACACTTCTCTATAAGTGTGTAAAAGTTCTGAAGTAAGGGAAGTTCCTAGATGGTACTTGACTTTGTATTCTGTTAATTACTAGGCATTTAACAGTTCATACATTTCTGTCTTTTAGGGTAGTTTTGCAGAAAACCTTGCTTTTCTTCTGGAAGCATTAAAGAAAGGTAAATTTGGGGGTGGTGGTTTAGTGATACAAATCATATGGCTGATTATGTTTTTGGAATTTTTAAGCTAATTTCATGCTGAGATTTTCCTGAATAGAAGGTTCCACCCATGAAGTGACATTGTGCCATTTTGTACAGGCAGTGATCTCCATGAAAAAAACCCATAGTATAATTGCCGAAGGTAACAGTTGTGCCAGCTGCAGAGTCCCATATTTCTGTGCTAGTGGGACTGAAGTTCAAGAATGTGAGAAAAAATAGATTGCAGCTTACTGGAAAAGCCTGGAAATAAAAAATTAATATGACCTCAATTTGTGAGATACAGGTTTTTTTCTATGAACTATAGTAGATGGGAAGTTAGTTAAGTGTCCCATCTTGTGTGAGTTTGATGATGTCAGGCTAACATCATTGGTCCATCAAGTTTTATTGCATTCTTGTCTTCCCTGGTTGGAGAGAAATCATGTGCATCAAAGCTGATATCAAATCTCCAGGTGCAAGATACAACGTTTGGTAAGGTTAACTTGCTATGCACCTATCTATCCCTAGTCATGAGGATATGAGACGGGCATAGATCTACACTGTTATCTTTGATATGCCAATGAGCTTTCTCCCACACACTGCTGGCCTTTCCAGTTGGGAGGGCAAGCAGTGGTTAGGAGAACATACTCCTGCTGTTACCTCTGGGATAATCCGGGAGATAATCCTAAATATAATGGAGACTCAGTGTGGGTACCTAAAAGAAAAAGCAAGAAACAGATACAGTGGTGCCCCACATGACAACGATAATCCGTTCTGTCAAAATCGCTGTACAGCAAAATCGTCATCATGCAAAAAAACCCAACACCATTGGAATACATTGAAAACTGGTTAATGCGTTCCAGTGGGGAAATACCTCATCGTCCAGCGAAGATTGCCCATGGAGAACCATCGATCAGCTGTTTAAAATCGCTGTTTTGCGAAGCTTCTGTCCAGAAAACAGCCATTTTGCGAAGGGAAGCCATTTTGCGGAGCCGGAAAAATAATTGTTTTGCGAACAAACGGTTCGGGAAGCAGGGACCTAATCGACGTAAAGTGAAAAAACCCCATAGGAACCATTGTTTTGCGATCACTATAGCGATCGCAAAAACATTGTCAACCGATTTCGTCGTCATGAGGGTTCATCATAATGCGGGACACCACTGTACCTAAAATTGCAAGGGTTAAATGCCAGATTTAAAAATGTCTAAACATGCAAGAAAATGAGTGATCAGTAAAGAATAAATTGTGTGAAATATATTTAATCTGAGACTTCTAATATTTGTTAATTTGATTTGTGTTTTAGGTGATCGTGCTCACAGCTGTCCAGTGCTGTTTGTACTAGATGAGTTTGATCTGTTTGTTCATCATAAGAACCAGACACTGCTGTATAATCTCTTCGATGTATCACAGTCAGCACAGACTCCTGTAGCTGTCATTGGTCTGACTAGTAGATTGGTAAAATACTTTTAGCTTTCCCAACATATTCCACCAGCATTACATATATATTTACACAATGACTTCTGAAGCTATTTATTCGGTTAACTGGAGGCTCGGTTTAAGAACATTTGGAACACATTTAAGTGGTTGAGAATCAGCTTCACGATTGAAGCATAGGTTGTTTCTTTAGGCACAATTATGAACACTTTCCTTGGCGCTTTTTTTTCATATAGAACCGTTTCAACAGTTTCCTTAACTCTGGTATCTTAGAACTTATCCCCATGGGGGCTAGATTACAATTGTTGTTTGCCTGGTTTAAGGCCAAATGACAGCTTGACTCTTTCCCCAAAGTTTGGGGGAGCAGTATCTATAGCTTGTCAATTAGTGTTGCTTTTACGCTGCTGTATTATGTGCTCTGAGATTTCCAGATTGCAACATAGGGTATATCACAATTGATGGTACAGTTAATTGGCTCTCATTGTTCATTTTGTACTAAACTGAATGATAACCTAAATATTTGATAGTGGCTGAAATTTCTATAATGGACGTGCAAGTATAAGGAATAACTTGTACAAAACTCTTTTAAACTGCTGGATAATTAATGATATTTCCTTTTTGAACAAATACTTTAGCTGAGAATTACCTTTGAGCATTTGCCACCTCTCAAGGAAAAGGACTTGAATACAGATTTTTAAAAAGTTTATATGAATCACTTACCTTTTATACGAGTAGAGTGAAAATATAAAATTGAAATCTGTTTTTGCATTTTTATTAGGATATTCTAGAACTCATGGAGAAGCGGGTGAAGTCAAGATTTTCACACCGTCAAATATATTTAATGAATTTCTTTGACTTCAAAAAGTATCTGAGTATTTGTAAAGAACAATTATCCCTACCTCCAGAATTTCCAGAAAAATTGTTTATTCAGAAATGGAATAAGAACATACAGGTAATAGAAATAAAATTAGTAATGATAAACTAATTGAGCGCTATCTAGTGGTGGCCTTCCTGTGGCAGAACAGAATGCCATGGAAGAAGAAGGGTACAATCTCCTGGTCACTGCAATACACTTGTATACTCCGAAAACAAAAAAATTGAGGGGCTCAGATGGCTGCAGGGAAAAAAGAGTTCTGCCAGTGGAACGTTTGATTTAGCTGCTATATATACCTAGTGTATGGTCTTCTTTTTGAAGTAATAATTGTATGTTTCAAATCATGCATTGGCTTAAATCCAGTATGAAGTGAACAGAATCAGGGTCCCCAACATCTTCTATTTGCCCCCATCACTCCCATGCTCTTACAGAGGGTCCCCCACTCCTAGGCAGATTTTGGAGACAGATAACAGGTTTCTAGTAGGTTTTGGGAGAAAACGTGTTTCTTGCCTTCCATCCAGATTTAGGCATATGCAGGATGGCGCTGGCTGAAACACAGTGCACACCTCTCAGAGGTTACCTCCATGGTCCTGAATGGCTACATGTGTGTTTAAGTTGACCATGTTAAATAGAGTAGGTTATGGTTTGGTGGGGTTTTGTACTGTATTCTTTGTTTAGCAGGGCAGACAGTCTTGTGATCATCCAATGAACTGAGCTTTCCATGCAGCTCTGGATCCTGCTCATTCTTTTTAACTTTAAAAAGGGGATGGTGCAAAGTTGCATATGAAGTATTCATGTGAATATTTTTGCTATATTCCTGCAGCCATCCTTTAAAACTGCAGCCATCTTGAATATACTGTGTCACTATCTGCAGCCAACATGGGTTTTTTTGGGGGTTTTTTGGCTGTTTCCAGTCTTGTTCCTTTTTCACCTACCCAGTTGTTCTTAACATACTTAAAGAAGAGTAACGAGCCTGGCGGTTCCCAACTTTGGGTCCCCAGATGTTCCTGGACAAAAACTTCCAGAAGCCTTTACCACTAGCTATGTTGGCCCAGATTTTGGGGGGTTTAAGTCTGAGAACATATGGGGACCTATGGTTTAGAACCACTGAACTAGCCTTTCCTTTCTCCGCTTTTGCTTTTTCCATGTGGCAAGTGACATACATAAAGAGCAGAACCTCCTGTCTTTGTGTAGGCTCTACATGTGAGCAAGAATTGTAATTTTTCATGGAAAAGCTTATACACAAAGAGGATTTCTGCTCTTTAGACATAACATTTCCCATGTACAGAAGGCAATGACAGAAAAGCAGTAGTTCTAGCTTCTCTAAGCATGTTGATAGTAATCAGGTAGCAATCAGGTAACAGCTGAATATGGCTTCTGTGTCTACAGCTCAGTGGGGGAAATTTTCATATACATGAAAAAATAAAAGTTACTGCTATAAATTGCTGCATTGACAGAATGTTGCCCAATTATTGATTTTTCAAAAATCTGCTTTAGATTCTCTTGGAAGACCAAAGAGCGCAGGATGTACTGAAAAATCTATTCTATTTTAGTAAAGATCTGCAGTACCTATCCATGTTGTTGGTAAGGAAATTTTACATTTTAATTCCTGACAGATTCCAGATTTTATTGTAAGGTTTGGATATCAACTCAGGATTTGAATCATAAATGAGTTCAAATGTTGCATAATAGAAAATTAAACTGGAAGAAATTATGTGCTGATTGATTATGTTTGGATTTACCCTTTTCTAATAACAAATATTACTATTTGGTAATACTGTACTTGTTACCTGTAAGATTTTTATCTCATCCTTGAAATGTTTATTGACATCAAAGGATAGGGGGTGTATATTCTAGATTAGAACAATGGTTTTGACAAAACCTTATATTCTAAATATATTAAAATGTTCATTAATGTAGATTTTGCCTAAAACTAATTAAATTAGAGGTCTTCACTAAGATCACAGATAGTTAAGCATCTAATTTAGTAGTTGATATTTGTATTTTGACCAAGTTTTCCAAACCTTTGAATTCCCGTATATATTATGTGAGCTTTGTCATAATTAGTCAAATCTCATTGAGGTCTATGGGACTTACAGCTAATTCAAGTCATATTGCTTAAAGTGATTCTACTGTAAATATGTCTAGACCTCAATCAACCCTTACATTTGAATTTACTCTCCGTAATGATATCTCCCTAAATCTGGGCCACCAAGTAAATTCAATGTTGTGGTTCCTGTTAGTGCTTGTGAGATGAACCACTTCAAGATTTTGATCCTAACAGATACAGGAGTCATGAAAGAAAATTTTGATATTATCTAATCGCCACAGCCATAATGGTTTCTGCAATACACTGACATTGTCATACTGCCTATTATGTTGATATATATTTCAGTTCAAATTCTGTGAAAGCCGTGTATTTTGTGTTAGTACAGTACAGGGAAAAGTGCTAACTTTGTGAAAAGGAATATGTAGTGTTTTTGTGATTTGTTTGGCAGGTTCTTATGGCCAGATCTCCATGCGTACAAACCTATCTCCTGCTCCCCTTGTACTTTATCTTCATGCACAGGCTTCATTTCTTCTGAATTATACAGTAATTGTGACAGAGTTTAGACCCAGATGATCCAATCCATGCTTCTTATTAAAATGCATTCAAATGTTCCCAAGTATTAAATTGTGTATGGCACTCATTTTTGTAATGGAGTCAGTCATATTGGACTGTTTCAATTTTGCTTTACTGTTTGGAGATCATTTTATTTTCGAAGTTGCTTAACATTATTGAACATTATTTCATATAGTTTTTGAGGTAACTACAATTATCACCATTTTTAACATTGGCCGTTGCAGACAGCTTGTATTATTACAGTTTGGAACTTGTGATGTTCTCAATTGATTACTGAAGCATATTTTCTTTAGTGAATAATGTAGATTATATTTAGCAAATAAGTAGAATATTCTACCAGTTAAGAATATTTTTTAATTTTGTTTTCAGATGTTTGCATTAAATAATGTAAATGCCTCTCACCCATACATCACTGTATCAGATCTTCTTGAAGCAAGCAGACTTTGTAGAATGGACTCAAAAGCAAATATTGTACATGGTGAGAAAACAGTGTTTGTCTTAATGAATTTGGATATTGATGGTGACTGTAGGTTTTTGGGATTGCTTGGCCATGCTCTGAAGGTTTTCCTTCGTGGTCTTTCTGCACCTTAGCAGAGCAGTCTTGGAGGCTTCTATAGCTTTAAGCACTTGATGCCGGGGCCTCCCCTACCCCGGCTATATAACTCAGCCCCTGGCCCCTAGTGCCTCAGTTCTTTTTTCGACCTTCGCTGTAGCAGCAGCTTTGTTAGGAACTTCGCAAGTGAAAAACAGTTCTATTCCTTATCTTTCCTTTCTTTTGACCTCCCTTGTTCTTTCTTCAGTAACAAGTTGTTTCTTCTGCTTGGGGGAAGAGCACCAGCCGGTGTTGTGTATTCTTTGTAAGGGTTTTGCAGCCCTCAGGGCTTTTCTCTTTTAAAAAAAGTCTCTTACCTTCTTAACAAGGCTACCACCAGGTTCAAGAGCAGCAGCTGTCCACCTCTTTGCAATCTTCCTCTTTTCGTCCAAAAAAGAAGAGGACAGCATCTGAGCTAAGTCTGCAGAGAACTGGGTGCCGTAGTTGGGAATATCCCGGCAACATACGGTAGCCCTAGCTTTGCCCTTGGAAGAAGAAAGGGCCACCTGCAGCTCCTACCACCATCCCCGCTTGTCGGTGATTCTCTTGACTGGGGTAAAAACCTCTTTGGAGGTTGGCACGGAACAGCCCTCCTTCATGGGCTGATTCACAGAGCTGCTAATTCTGGAGAGCTGGGTGCCGAGGCCGAAGAGGTCCCGGCAACATACAGTAAGCCTTGGCTTTGCCTTTGGGGAAAGAAAAGGCCCCCTGCAGCTCCCACTGCTGGGGGGGGCTTGTCTACACCACCATGTTGTCCATGGCCGCTGGTCCACGATAGAAGCCGGCCTGCGTAACAATGTGCTGGAGCTCCTGGCTATTACCAAGGCCTTTTGGGCCTCCAAGCCCCTACTCTATGGGTGGGTGGTCCAGGTAGCATCAGACAGTACCACTACAGTTTATTATATAAACAAGCAGGGCTGCGCTCACTTGTTACGTCTTCTCTTTCACACCATCGACCTTTCGGAATGGTGTTATGCTCGCCACATTTATCCGTACATTTGGTAGGCAAGAACAATTCTGTGGCAGTCCATCTCAGCAGACTACAATCCTGCTCTCACGAGTGGGCTCTCAGCAATGCCATCTTTCACTGCCTCTGTCGTTGATGGGGGACTCTAGACATAGACATTTTTGCATCTCGGATGAACAAGTGTGCCATGTTCTGCTGAGCCGGCATTGGCCGCAACTCCCTAGGGGATGCTTTCCTGATGAATTGGTCACAGGGCCTCCTCTACATGTTTCCATCTTTCACCCTTCTTCAAAGGACTGTCGTTCGAGTCCAGCATGAGTGTGTAAATGTCGTATCAGTTGCCGCAGATAGTCACCCTGCTTTACCGTTAGAAGGTTGTTCTTCATATTCCCAACTGGTACAGAGAACACAGATAAGGATATCTTTGGTTGGTGTTTTTATTCTCTAGCCGCCATGTACCCAGTTACTCCGCTGCCATGGGCGCTTATCATCACCACTTAAGGAATTTGGCACTGCCCATTCTGCAGGTAGCTCCTGTACACCTTTACAGCCAGGGCCTCTCATATCACCAGGAGCCAATGGGGCGCATTGCTGCTCAGCATGCCTTGAAACCAGCATCCAAACAACTGGTGGATCGAGGACCTGCTGTTTGATGGTGTAGGGCTTTTTGATCAGAAAACTGATGTTATTCTTGATAACCTGCTCAAGCTCCAGAAGATGGCACGGTAATTTGTGGTGCAACAACCTCGAGTACCTGGAGATGTTCCTACCGGCCTAGGGCATCCCAGGAATGTCAAAGGCCCCAACCCAAAGTTACCAACTGCCACCCCTCCTAGACATGTGGGCAGGCAGTGCCCTGACCAACAAAACCGCAGGCAGGACCGCAAAACCAAGCAGTCTCTTTAATGCACCTGACTTCTCTGTCGTTTACCAATCAGTCCATTTGACCCCTTGTCTTTCCAATTGGTGTTCCTTCACGTCTAGCACTTCAGTACTTTCTATCATAGCTACCAGCTATGCCACTGAATTTGATGTACCCCCTGTCTTTGGAAGATGAAATTCAGGCCTTGTTCGGGAACAATGCTATTGTTCCTTTGCAAATCCCCAAAAAGGATGGAAGTTTCTGGCCCATCCTTGATCTTGGAGGCCTGAATTCATTTATTACTCCACGAAAATTCTGTATTGCTTCCTTGAACTCTGTTATTCACATGTTACGTCCAGGGAGTTGGTTTACCATGATTGAACTGTAAGATGCTCATTTTCATGCTAGCATCTGGTCAGACCATCAATGCTTTTTCAGGTTTTCAGTAGGAGGAATCACTGTTTACTCATATTTGGATAACTGGCTCCTGGTCGCTGAGTCCAAGTCACAAGCTTGTAAACACACATCCTTGACACTGTCTCTTTTGTCAGTGTTAGGACTAAAGGTCAACATAGAGGAGTCGACTTTGCAACCTACACTATGTGTAAATTATATTAATGTGACTTTGGATGCTTTCTTGACAACAAGATTGTGAAAATGCATGGTTTGTTATGCTCCTTTTCTTCAAGCTCTTGGTCCCTGCCCTACAGGTCCAGTGACTTCTGGGGCTGATGGCAACTACCACAGCTCTAGTACAGCATGCTCGATTAAGGATGAGGTCCCTTCAAGCCTGGTTTCTCTCCCTCTTTCGGACGTCTTGCGACCATCCATCCACGTTGCTCCAGGTGATGCCAAAGCTTGCTGCACAACTGGACTGGTGAAAATCCCCCACAACCTACGGATAGGGAGACTCTTTGGTCTCTTGGGGGGATGTGGTGGCGCTGCGGGCTAAACTGCAGAAGCCTCTGTGCTGCAGGGTCAGAAGACCAAGCAGTCGTAAGATCAAATCCACATGACGGAGTGAGCGCCCGTCGCTTGTCCCAGCTCCCGCCAACCTAGCGGTTCGAAAGCATGCAAATGCAAGTAAAATAGGGACCACCTCGGTGGGAAGGTAACAGCGTTCCGTGTCTAAGTCGCACTGGCCATGTGACCACGGAAGATTTTCTTCGGACAAAACACTGGCTCTATGGCTTGGAAACGGGGATGAGTACTGCCCCCTAGAGTCAAACACGACTGGACAAAAATTTACCTTTACCTTTACCTTGGTCTCTTGACCCTGATGGTTCAGTTAACTGAGGATGCCAGTCGTCAGGTTGGGGGGGGGGTTCTTGTCTACACCACCATGCTGTCCACGGCTGCTGCATATCACCAATGCATCCAAGCCAGCCTGCATATCACCAGTGCGTTTTGGGCCTTCGAGCCCCTACTCCATGGTTGAGTGGTCTCGGTTGCGTCGGACGATGCCACTGCAGTTTATTATATAAAGAAGCAGGGCGGCACACACTCGTTTTGCCTTCTGTGTCACACCATCAACCTTTCGGAATGGTGTTATGCTTGCCACATTTATCCAGTGGCTGTATATTGACAGGCAGGAACAATTCCTTAGCAAACCATCTCAGCAGACTACAGTTCTGCTCTCACGAGCAGGCTCTCGACAATGCCATCTTTCGCCGCCTCTGTCACTGATGGGGGACTCCAGACATAGACATTTTTGCATCCCGGATGAACAAGAAGTGGGCCATGTTCTGCTCCCTGGCCGGCATTGGCCGCAACTCCCTAGGGGATGCCTTCCTGATGAATTGGTCACGGGGCCTCTTCTACATGTTTCCACTTTCCCCCTTCTTCAGAGGACTGTCATTCGAGTCCAATATGTGTGCAAATGTCATGCTTGGTCACCTCGCCAGCCATGATTCTCGATCCTGCTCCCGTGAGCCGTGGAATACAACAGGCTGCAGCTGGCCCCTCATCTACTGTCTCGAGACAGAGGTCAGGTATTTCATCCGGACCTCGAGTCCCTCCACCTGACGGCTTCGAGACTTCCCTGAGTGTAACAGACATGCTCAATCATGCTTGCAAACCTTCTACCACCTTGACCTACTCCTATAATTGGTAGGCATTCTGTCACTTTGCATCAAGATTACATTTGCCTACTAGGCCAATGTTTCTGGGTGCACTCCTTCAGTTTCTCCTACACCTGTTTTGCCTGGGGCTGGCCCGTTCTACCTGCAAGCTATTTCTCCAAGGCCTGGAAAATAAGCGCCTTGCCTATAAGACCACTAACACCTCAGTGGTCTCTCCAGTTAGTTCTTCAGCAGCTTATGAGGCCTCCCTTCAAGCCCTTGGCATCAGCATCGCTCCGCTTGCTAACCCTCAAGACTGCTTTTCTCCTGGCGATAACCTCAGCTGGCAGGGCTGGAGGACTGACTACACTAAGAGCAGAACCTCCTTTCTGCAAAGTAACCTTACGGCCAGACCTTCTTAACTAGGATATCTTCTGCCTTCCATTTGAACCAGCCAACTATCCTTCCTGTGACTGCTCTGGACATGAAGCATGCTCTGTCATATTATGTGCACCACACGACCACTTTTTGTGCCTCACAATGTCTCTTTCTCACTTTTGCTGGCTCCTCCTTTGGAGCACCGGCTTCCTCTCAGAACATCTCTAGATTAATAGTCCAGACAATCCATCTTGCCTATAACTTGGAAGGGACTCCTTCCAAAATCAGTGAGAGCTCACTCTAATAGAGCTGTAGCATCCTCAACGGCCTTTCTCCGTGGAGTGGACATCGCGGATGTCTGCCACGCTGCCACATTTGCCACTTAGTCTACCTTCATCTCGCAGTACCGCCTGGATGTCTGTCCGAAGGCTCAGGCTGTGATAGGTCAAGCTGTCCTGGCTTTTGCACTTTTGTGACGTCCCTCCTCCAGTCACCCATTAGTGTGCATTCACAGAGACCATGAAGGAGAAAAAGAAGTTACTTACCTGTAACTTTGGTTCTTTGAGTGGTCATCTGTGAATTTGCACTCCCCGCCCTCCTCTCCGCTGTCCGTCACGTGTGCCATTGCATGATGGGCAGCAGCGGTCTGTTCCTTGGAACTGAGGCACTAGGGGCCGGGGGCGGAGTTATATAGCCGATGTAGGAGAGGTCTGCATGTCATAATCTAAAATAGAAAGGTTACTTTCCTCCAATTGACAAACATAAGCAGGATTAGAAATGCTTTGCATGACTGTGCCCTCTTATGACTGAAATCTTGATAATTTTGTTCAAGCAAAACAAACTGGCTAGAAGTCTACTTCTGGTTTTGAGAAATTCAAAATTGAGGACGTTGAGCAGTATGCGCATCTCTTGCGACCTCTTTTGTTAGGCAGATCACTGCTCCTGGACCCTTTCAAGAATAGTCATTTGCCTTTTTTTGCTGGGTCAAAAATGGGCTGGGGTCTACTGTGTGGTCCCAAGTTCACACTTTTCCCACTCTCGTGTTGTGGATATTTTTCTTCCAAGTAAAACATTTCTTAATGCAGTGGCTTTTGAAGCCCAGACTTAGGTAGTTTTTCATATTTAAAATTTAATGGAAGTGATAATGGTATATGTGCTACCAAAATAATAAAATGTATGTGTTGACACCCAATTTTGAAAGCTATGTTATTTAGAGGTATTAAGTGCAACTAGAGATATTAACTATCATTTTTCTTGTAGGTCTGTCTGTATTGGAATTCTGCCTTGTTATAGCTATGAAACATTTAAATGATACTTATGAAGGAGAGCCATTTAATTTTCAGATGGTTTATAATGGTGAGATGACATGAGATTCTTTACTGTTTATTAAAGTATTTCAAAATAATTCATTTACAACTTACTGATTAAGTTTTGGATACAGTGGACTGTTACAGTTCAAAGTACATTAGATTCTTTATAAAACAAATGGTTTATTTCCTCAAAAACTAGTGTAATATTTATGTCTTAATGCAGAGTATCAGAAGTTTGTTCAGAGAAAAGCACATACAGTATATAGTTTTGAGAAGCCTGTTGTTCTGAAGGTATGTTTGACTTGCATGTATTCCAGTTCCCTTTGTATTGTCACAGACACTGAATTGTTTGGAATCAGTGTGTAATACAATTTCTTGTAATTACAATTTCTTCCAATTTTGCTAAAAATAAGACTAATTTATGGAAGATCACTGAGCAGTTCTAACTTTGTCTGATACTGTGCTGCCCTCTAGTGTAAATTGTATGCATTTCTGTAGATTCCTTCCCTGAATATGAACATCTTTTTGCAATGATTTTTGAGGTTAAGCTAATAGCATAAAGCAAGGGTTTGAGAGATGTAGCCCTCCAGATATTGTGGATTCCAACTTGCATTAGATCCCTCATTGTTGACCATCCTTGCTAAAGATGTTGGGACTAGTAGCTAAACAACATAAGAGCCAGCCATTCACCCTTCCTGGTTGCAATTAAATGCCAGGTTTAGAGGTGTCTTAATTTCAAGGTTTTTGTGTTTGTTTGTTTTTACTGCATTATTTTTATAATTACAAAATAGTTTACACTGAAATTGTTTTTTCTCTGTTTCTGAAGAACAGTGGGAAATTATGCTGTTTGTAAATAACTTGCATTCTTTTATTTTTAGGCTTTTGAACATCTGCAGCATCTTGAGTTGATAAAGCCTGTTGAAGGGCCATCCTTCTGTGCACAGAAAGAATACTTATTAATGAAACTGCTTTTGGACAACAGCCAAATTATGGATGCTTTGCAGGTCTACCCAAATTGCCCCACAGATGTTAAACAGTGGGCTGTGTCTTCAGTGAACTGACTGTAATTGTTAGAGGGTTGAATTTCACGGAAGCTAATACTTAACCAGATGTGGAATTATTGTCAGTGGAAAGCTGCTTCGTGCAATTATGGACATTTGCGATTAGTTGCACAGTGTACAAGTTAAAATATGAGCAAGATTTTTCTTTGATAAAAAAGCAAAGTTTTCAAGGATGTAAATCATTTTCACCTAAGTCTTATTTAAATTGTTTTCCATGTTGTAAATTAAATTAAACTAGTGATGCTAGTTCATTTCAGTTCTTGTCTTGTATGACATGCTGTTTTGATATAAAATAACAGAAGGGGATTGCCCTATAATAATATTAATTGCTGCCTGCCGAACATGAGCTGGAGAGTTACAGACAGTTTTTCTCAAAACTTTAAGATGCTCTAAAATATCCTTTTGTTGAAATCATGAGGGTTTTTTTCATAAGGACAGAGCAACTTCCTTATGCAGTTTGATTAAAATCTTGATACTACAGGGCAATTATTTCAGTGCTTCAATCCTGACATGTTACAGGCTAACAAATGGCTCTGGTGTATCTTTCTGTGTTATGTATTTCCATTTCCCTTTTTGTTTTCTGTCTCTGAGCTAACATTAGTAAACATCAGTGCAAATACAGCTTTTCTGATGGCTGTCAGAAGTGTAGCAATATTCTTCTTAATAAGAAGAATAAAAGTTTCTGGGTTAACTGACATTGGTTATTTAAAACATGGCAGCATTTTTCAAGAGCTTAGCCTGGCTAACCCATCACCACTACTCCCAAAGAAACATGAAAGCAGGCTCCAAGAGTCTAAAATATTTATACCCCACCACCCTTACCAACCCAAGGCAGATTTAATTTGCCAGTCACAACCTAACTGCATGTGGGATAGTACCTGTCATTGATGCAGGGCATGCTCGTTTCTTTGGGCATGCAGCTGAATATGATTACACCAAACAGTAAGGACGCCTGCTCCCTGGCCCTGAGAATCTTAGCCTGAAGAACACAAAGTTATCAGTGAGAGGTCTTGCTTACAGAGTGGCAGCATTGCCTTTAATTTTTTCAAATCCGGAATTTTACATTTTCGTAAAGGAATCTGGGTTTCTTCTCATTATATTGCAAAACTTCAAACTTAATTATATATGACTCCTAAACTAATAACATCAAAGAGAAGTCTTTAACTGTGCCCTCAAGTATAGTGGCTAGATCCTGTTGCCTAGGTAAACAGTGGCTGTAAGGTGTAATTTGCTAATGTAGACTATATTATTTTTTACAGTCTTTGTAGCTCCATAATATGTTCAACATAGGTACTAGTGTGGATATGCCTGTTGGTGTGGTAGGTTATCACTGTAGAACAGTGGCCTGCCTTCAGAAATACTTGATCATTGCCTGCAGCTGTCTTTGCTGACTTAGGAACCAAACTTCAGCTTTCCACATTTAGTTGTCAAAATTTTCTGAAGAATTTTTTGATGTAAAGGATTGTTCGAAATAGGCTTTAAAAGTAGTCTTCATAAGAGTATGTTAGGATTTTTCAGTTTAGATGCGAGCAAATCATTGATGACTATAACAAAGTGTAATGATGGCCAAGTGGAAACTGTAGGTCATGTTTTACTGTACTGTCATTTCTATAGAGATCTACACACCAACCTCCTGAGCCCAGTCATTCTCAGATATCCAGGGAGACCTGATGAATTTTACATCAAGCTACTTCTTTCCGATCAAGACTCCCTTATTACACGCTCTGCAGCAAAATTTTGTGCAGCAGCAATGGCACAGCGCTCCCTTATAGTCTCCTGAGTTCACAGGTAGACTGGTTTTAGCATGAGGGTGGTTTATTGTCTAGCATAGAGAAATGTTGTGGCTCCAACCGAAGGGAGGAAATATTTACAGATCTTTACAAATATGTAGGAAGAACTCCATATAACCCAAAGACCCTGTCCAAATCATTTTGCCCTAGATGATCCAGTGGTTCAAAGGATAGCTATAAAAATGCTGTATTTGATTCTTCCCATATTTTACAACTAGTACACAATAAATTATTATTTGTACACTTTTTAATAACATTTTGTGTATTTTAACCACATAATATGTTAACTGGCTGTACACTTTTAAAATTGCATTTTGTATATTTTAACCACATAATACGTTTTATGACCTGACTACATATTAAAATTGCATTTTGTATATTTTAGCCACATAATATGTTTTATGTATTGGTTGTATATTTTTAAACTGCTTTCTTAAAATAGGGGGACAACTTGTGAAGTGGGTAAAAGTGATCTGTGCTCCCCTGAATAGTACTGAGTCCCGAAGATACTCTAAACTGCATACTTGATCCTTAGAGAGGCATGCCTTTCAAAACACCTCAGCCTTTGCCAGGATGGGGTGTTTGCCAATTTGCCAGGATGGGGCACCCATTGCCAAGGAAGACAGATACATGTGCCATAGCTGCATCAAGAGAAAACACAACATATAAACCAATTAGAGATTGTGATACCCAGGACAGGAAGGCAATGATCCCTGTCAAGAGTGTTGTCCCTTATTCCCATGGAAAACAACTAGTGTCTGGGGTACTGAACCAGTAAATCAAGAGGGAAAGACAGAAGGAAGACCCCTGAGGCAGAAGACCAAATACAAAGAGAAGAAAACGTGGAAAAGAGAAAACGGAGTGAGGAGAAATAAGGAGAAGATATAAAAGAGAAAAAGGGTCTGAAGGGGGGAGAAGGCAGGGATAACTCAAGGGAAATAAGGGCCTGGAGAGTAGAAGCAGGAAAAATAGAGGAGCATCTCCTGGAAGGTTGGGAGTGGGCTTTGAAGTTAAACCCTTGTATCCAAACCTTGCAGAGACTTGTTTCCTCAGGGGAGGGCTGAATTATGACAAAGCTGTTGACCTCTTATTGGGGAAAGAGGAGAGAGAGAAGAGGCACTAGCAGATGTGGAACACAGAGGCAGGTCTTCATAGAGGCAAAGGGATCCTAACAGTCAGTCTCTGCCTGGTGTGCTGGAGAGCTATGGATGCCAAGGGAGCAGGGGAAGCAAAGAGTGGTGGGAATCAGCAATTCTAATAACCCCATGATGGCTTTGTCAACCATGGTTTACAACACTACTGTTAATGGCACAAGAGCATACAGTATAAGACTAACACTAGAGCCAAATCTGATAGCAAAGTGGTTCCCAGCCTTGGGTTCCCAGATGTTCTTGGACTAAAATGTCCAGAAGCTTTCACCACTAGCTGTGCTAGCCAGGATTTCTGGAAGTTGTAGTCCCAAGAAAATCTGGGGACCCAAGGTTGGGAATCACCGTGAAAGCATGTCATCAGGGGGAAGTCTATAATCCCAACCTAGAGAATCTAAAATTAACAGCCTACTTAATTATCCCACAATAGTAAAAGTCTTATGAGAATCTCAAAAAAGACCAACTAGAAAGTGCTATTTTTACAAGTGGAAGTTTTAAAACTTTGTAAACAAAGTATATTTATACATCTGTATCTTGTGTTTCCTTCTCAAGACTTGCTCAGTTCTCATTAAAAATATATTTGTTGGTAATTGTGACACACCACCCAAAATACTTTTTTCTCTGAACTGTTCTCAAACGTATTAAGATGTTTTTAAGAGGATTAAATAATATCTGTCCAGACATAAGACCTCCAACACTGCAGTGGTCTTTGTCTCTAGTGTTAAATCAGCTAACAAGGTCCCCATTCAAACCAAAGGCCAAAGCTAGCGTACATTTACTGTCATATAAGACTATTCCTAGCAGATATAACTTCAGCAAGAAAGGTAAGCAAGTAGTCAGCTTTATGCTGTGATAAAGCCTATCTCAGATTTCATAAAGACAAAGTCAGCTTATTTACTGATAGATAATTTTTAGCCATTTTCATGCATCATCTAATAGTCTTACCAACCTTTCACACTTTAGACTTTTATGTAGATAGCCCTAGTTCATTCAGAAAATCAGATTGCTATCAATGGAAAAGAAAAAGCAACTGAAAAAGAAAGTATTTTTATGATTATATATATTTTATATTGATTTATTTTATGTTGTAAGCCGCCCCGAGTAGACATGGTCTAGAGGGGCGGGGTATAAATTTAATAAATAAACTGTCTTCTCACTTTCAAAACAGATTATAAAGACAATTTCATTATCTTACCAACTTGCAAATCGCCTGTTACCAGTTATTTTGAAGGGGCATTCCATGCAAGCTGTGGTTGCATCAACAGCTTTTTTTTTAAAGGAACCCAGTTGCAAGACATTTGTAAGGCTGCAACTTGGTCTTTGTAAACCATTATAGACTTAAGGTAAAAGGAGCTAGATGCATCTTTTGGTAATGTTATCTATAATGTTGGTGTGACATCCCTCTGACCTGCCAAGTGAGTTTGGGAGCTACCCATGTTGTGATTTTACAGAGACCATGAAGGAGAGATTATTTGCTTGTAATTGTGGCTCTTAGAGCAGTCATCCGTGCATTCACACAACCCACACAACCTCCCCTCTGTGATGCTTCACATATTTGAGCTTGGCTGCAGATAAAGGGAACTGAGGGAATAACCATTGGGTGGAGCAGTATGTGAGTGAAGGGAGAGGTAAAACGCTCTAGAATATTCCTCAGATTATTTTGTGCAGGTGCAGAACTACCTGTATGTATGAATTCACAGATGACCACTCACGTGTTTCTCCACGTTTATTTCTTCCACGAGTTTTATCCAATCTCTTTAATTTCTGAGACCAAATAAATAAATCACTGCCAGCCAAAAATGTTTATTTGTTTGTTAAAATAATCAAAAATAAATAATTCATTTCTGTGACTTTCCAATCTTGAAGGTAGTTGGTTCTACATCCTCTGGTGTAGACAGCCAGCCAATATTTTCACTGCTTCAGTGAACTGCTCATGGGCCTCTGGGATCAGACAGATGTTTAATGTACTGAAATTCTGCCAACTGAGTTCTTAAAAAATGTATCTTCTGTGGAATTATTGTTGCATTGCTGCCGTGAGCTGACACAGTATGGTCCTCTGCTGCATATTTGGAATTAGGGTACAGACTGATTTTATAAACTGTTGGGCTATTAGGTCATTAGCGAATACCAAGTTTGGGTTATAACCACGTTACCATCTTCTGCTGTGGAAAGATGAGGGAAATGTCTTATCACAAATATTAAAGGCTAGTTGAGACTTTTCTGCCCATTTTAGCACCGTTTCTCCATTGTTATAATTACAAACATATCCCCAGATACTGCTGTGACAATTGCTGTCCCCCATTATAAAATTTAATTTCTGTTTATGTAAACAACAACTAAAGGTGCATGTCTCTTCTTGTAATCGCTCACATCTAAAGCAAGACATTCAGGGTTTTAAAGGAAAAGGTTGCATTAGGTGGTTAATGAATGGAGAATACTGCGCAGCTACCTAGCTCTGATAGCATCAGATTATGTTTGGTGCGTATGGTTGACTAATATAGCATTTACATATTTTCTATGAGATTATTACTTTTGGCCTTACCAAGGTCCCTTTCATTCTTCACGGCCACTTGTGGGCCATTGTGAAAGTCATATAGTCACTCATCTAGTGATGTCCACCTCATGCTGGTATTTCTGGAATGGAAGAGCACAAAGTATAAGGACTTGTGAAATGGAAGCAATAGCTGACTGGTGCCATCGTTGCCCAGTGCACACTCAAATGTGTTCACATTCTTCAGGGAGGGTCTTTCTGTGTTCTCCTATATCAGTGATGGCGAATCTATGGCATGAGTGCCACAGGTGGCACACGGAGACATCTCCCTTGGCACGCAAGCAGAGCGCTACCCCTCCGTTACCAACCCCCACTATCCACACCCCCCACCCCACAGCCGAATCTCAAACTGCACCATCGTCAGCCACCTCTTCCTGCTATTTTCTTTGGTTCCGGCACTCCTTCTTTAAGAGATCAGAGATAAGCCTGCTTGACTGATTACAGCTGCCCCCCCCCCCCCATCAATCCAGGGATTGTGAATGACTGCTTCTACCTGGAGGTGACCACAAGCAGGAGGGAAAGGCTCCAGGTTAAGGAGGGAAAGAATGTGCAACTTCATCAAGCATATTTAAATGTATGTACAAAATTGAGGGAGCGAGGGGGGGTGTGGGGGGAGAGACTCAAAACTGAAAAAAAGGGAACTGATTCAAGGAGGGAAAGCTCCAGTTGAGGGAAGGAACGTGCAACTTCATCAAGCTTGTTTACATGTATGTACAAAATGGAGGGAACGAGGGTGTGTTTTTGTGTGTGTTTGCGTGTGAGTGAGAGAGAGAGGGAGGGAGAGACAGAGACTGGCTTAAAACTTAATCTCCACTGCATTTAGTCCTGCAGTTTCTGCTGAGAACAGCAGAAATATGAAGTGTGTAGCAATCGTGTTTATTTATCATACCCAAAGCAGACAAAAGTATCGCATTTTATTCCCAAAATCTGAATTCCAGTCTTTCTGCTCCTGGCTGTACTTTGACTGCAACACCAAACAAAAGACTGTGGGTTTCTTTATTGTGTCAATCCATCTCATGTGCAGTCTTCCTCTTTTCCTACTGCTTTGCACTTTTTCTTGCATTGCTGCCATTTCCAGTGAGCTTCTCTTCTTATGATGGTACTACAGTATCCCTTGTTTGGTTATTTTAGCTTGTACTGAAAGTCCACTTATCTTTCTGACAAGTCATACTATCTGTAGAACTCTTTTCCAACACTACATTTCAAATACAGTAAGTGAAATGTCTGTGTACACTTTATGTAGTGTATAAAATGTGTATTAAAAGTCTGCACTCCTATATATAGCTGCTTTTCTGAGGGTGGTTACTTTGGAGGAAACATGTCCATAATTTCAATGTACTTAATAAGCTTTATAAATGTTGTTGTTTAGTTGTTAAGTCATGTCCGACTCTTCATGACCCCATAGACCAGAGTCTTCCACTGCCTCCCAGAGTTTGATCAAATTCATGTTGGTAGCTTCGATGACACTGTCCATCCATCTCATCCTCTGTCATCCCCTTCTCCTCTTGCCTTCACACTTTCCTAAGATCAGGGTCAATTCCAGGGACTCTTCTCTTCTCATCAGATGGACAAAGTATTGGAGCCTCAGCTTCAGGATCTGAGCTTCCAGTGAGCACTCAGGGTTGATTTGGCCTCATACTAATTTAAACAAAGTATAAGACTACTAACTGTGGCCTAAACAAAACTGTTAGTGCTGAGTAGAGTAGACCCACTGAATCAATGGTATTTACACATACTGACCTCTCCCTTCATGGGTCTATTTTATTAGCACTCGTATTTTGATATAGAACTATAATTTTTTTCCCCTTGCTTACCACTTCCAGTGGTAAGACAAAAATCTGAGAGGTCTATAAACACAATAGATACAATATAGCATTTTACTGTATTTTGAAGAACTAAACTAGAAAATAAGTATGCAAATCATAGTAGTCATTTAATTTTTTATTCATGTTTCTGTGGGGATAGGGAAAGAGAAAGCATACATTTATACAATATTTCACAATCACTTTTATCCAGGATGGGGTTATTTTCTTTTTAAATACTTGCCAAAAATAGCAAGAGCAATCTGACAGTAGTACAACAACCTGTGCCCAGAACACTGACAAGTACAGAGTAAAGCTAAAATAATTGCTTACCAAGATCTTGAGAGGTGACATCTTATATGGACTGAGTGTGCATTAAAAGAAAAAAGTACCGCTGGTTGAGTATCTTGAGGTAAATGGTGTTCCAACAAGGATATTATTTTTATCGTTTGCTCATAATCCTGTACATCGCTTTCTGCATCTTATACCAAATATTCCTAATAAAAATGCATTAAAAAGGTTAAAAAGAGAACTGGAAAAAGGTCAACCAATCAGTCACCTCACTTTGTTAAACTACAGCCAACAATTTCTCCTGTAGAACTGTAGTATGAACAATATTTATTACTACTACATCTGAGATTACACCTTAGTTATGGCAAAACTACTCCACATGGATTTTGCTATCAAAGAAGGTATAAAGTTGTGTATTTTAATCCAGACTTATTTTCATAATACCACCATGAATGAGAATGCTAGGTCAAATAACTCCAACAATTTACGAGGCACAATCTGTTCTGAAATGTTAAGTTATATTTAGCAACTGTACAAAGAGTAGTCATGCATCATGTGATTAAAAAGTTCTCAGCAACTAACAGAAACTTGAAAAGGTACTGCAAAGTTTAGACTTTTAAATTGATCACAAAACTGGCTAATCTGTAAAATCCTGTGGCAATTATATGGCAGCCAACTAAGTAGATACAGGCAGACCAAAGACAACTTGAAGCTTGAGCTTGGGCTCCAGCTTTTCTTCACACATCAAAGATACAAGTTAAACCACCAGAGCTGGCCAGATCCACACAAGCTGTATGATTCAAATACAAAAAGCAACAATGGTCACAATATCTGTCAGAAAGCAGAGCATCATTCCTAGCTCAGACTTACTAAAAAAATTGTTGGCTTTAACTTATGGTCTTGGCTTAAGCATTTTTAGAAACTTGCCCACCTCTATATTTTCTCTTAAAGTTGGAAACAGGTTTTGAGATTCCCTGCAACGTATTAAGTATAGATGAAAACAGTTTTGTGTTCTTTTGCAATTTTACAGATCCTTCTAAAAGCTAACTTTACAATTCCGACATGTAGTATCATTCCCATTACAAATATCAAACTCGAGTTGTTTGGGGGATTTCAGAATTTATGAATGTATAAATGAAGACTCATTACTCTGATTGTCAGTTTTGATGGTTTTCCCTATATGACTTGAAATGAGAAACATACTAATAAAAATACACGAGAAAAATGTTCCTCCTGGCTCAGGTCATGGGTGTGCATTTGTTGGATAGAAACCTGCTCTATGAAAATTTGGGGACAACTGTCTCGACAAACATTGCACCTAGGTTTTCAGCTAGAAATGGTTAATGTATTCACGTTTTTGGATGACCACTAATAATAGTTGCTGCATTTTCCTAGTTTATATGTTGTCATTTTGAGAAGAAACTAGATTTATCAATTGTTCAGCTCTTTTTAGGCATGGGTCTTCGAGTTGAGATTGTTGTATCGATGCCTATAATCAGAATCAAGCAAATAACCCTCCTTTATTTAAACTGCAACACAGTCCCCCTATGTTTATCAACAAACAAAATTAGCAAGTTGTACCTGTAGCATGTTGTACTGACAGTACTTGTAACCAAAGAAGGATATGGGGATCTTTTGGCTACCATAAAATTATGAGTCAAAATTGCACTGGTATGCCAGTTATGAAAAAAAATTGCTGGTACCTTTCTCCATTTTTCAGAATTTGGTACCCAAAATGTTGTTTATAAATAATCCTTTTTAAAAAAGAAAACAATACCGAAGAAAACACTGTGGTTTCATAAATAACTGTTCAGAAGAAAGCATTCACAGTGAATATCTGATTTTGACATTTAAAAAAAATCCTAATGCATTTTTTAAAAAATGACCTGACCAGAATCTCATAATACTGGCTACTGTTGGTACTTTAGTTTTAGAACATTAACGTACTTTGGCCTGCAAACATGTAGCTGATTAAATAACTGTAGTGTATTATTACTTTTCAAAATTACTTTGGCACCTGTCTACTTACTGCCCTTTTTGCTAAACTTTCAATGGAAAGGCCTGACATCTTAAGTTGCCTGTAATTCTTGAATACAGTAGTGTAATTTAAAACTATAGGTTTCTCTCTCTTTTGTTTTTTTGCTAGACTGTGCTACATTGTCATTACAGAAATAATTGCATATTTGATGGTAAGCATGTTTTCTTTAAAAGAAATTGTGCAGCTGTAGTTTTCATTTTTTTATGATCATAGGGAAAACCTATGAATCACAGACGTGTATTACTCTGACAAGTCGGCACCAAAGAGCGTTGCAGAGTTGCAAAAGGTAATGCATGAAGAATGAGGAGTTCTGGGAAACTAAGCTTCCTGAGGTGATCCTGAAACAGTAACATAGGTTGAATGCAGATTTTGGCACATGCAACATGGCTGGCAGACTGATTTTCCCACCACAGTGGCCCTCCTATCCCCCAAAAATGATGCACCAAATGTCAGGGTAACTTTGGTGTAGTATTTTTGAAAAGCTGGAGCAGCTGATGAAGAGAAGCTGAGGAAGTTTCTTCCACCAGCCACACTGCATCAGCTATCTCTGGATCCAACCTCTGTATCCTGTTTAGTAAAACAAAAAATATGCTAGGCAAAACATAAGAATACATAAAATTGGGAGCAGGGGGAAGCTCCTTTCAAAAGAATAGCTTTCCAGTGCCATACCTCACATAATTAAAAAAAAAAAAAGAATCATGCTTAAATTTTCAAATTATCATTTTCACACAGCAAACCTAAATATTTAGTAAAATAAATGTATGCAATATTTAGGGAACTGGAGGTAAAATATAGCTTTAAACTAAAAATTGGGGGAGTTTGCCATTTAACACACAATACATTTTTATACACAAACTAGAACAAGGAAAGGCTAACACACTATTTCAGGAATGGCCATTGACTGTTAGCATGAAGCACAGCTTACCATCTTTAAAAAACACACCTTAAATCTGTAAATACATAATTTACAAAATCTGGATCAATTTATTATCTCAGGTTCGTTAGTGTTGTCAATTCAACAATTAAGCATAGGTGGAACTGAGGTATACCTTGTTGAGGGAGGTTAAGTAATGCTTGGAAGCCTTTTTGCTAGATCCCACTTTGATTACATAGAACAGCAGCACACTAAACATTCACAAGCTGTGTCATATTGGCATTACAATAGTCATTTATATAAACACAACAGCAAATGCAATAAAAACAAGTTACCCTTTTTCTTAAATCTGAAATGAAATGTTTGATTTAAAAAAAATAGCAGTAGTTCATTTTAAAGGAATTAATCTGACATGTTAAGAAATACAATGTCAGCTTTTTAAAATGCTTGACTAGCCAGGATAGGTCCATGTTCTCCAAATAAGTTTGTTAACATTATTTTGCCATTTCCTCAGTTCTTCACGTCCTTCAGTCATATGCAAGGAATGCTATAAGTCTTCTGGATCCATGCCTGGAGTAGGGCAAACAGGCGTCTTCCTACTGACACTCCAAAGGCAGACTTACCATTCCATATGTCACGAAGAAAACGGTTGACCAGAAACAGGCCTGTTAGCTTAGCAGCTCCTGTTCACAGAGTCTTTTCGGTCAAGATGTGTGACCAGTGCAACTATCATAGACTGGATTCTTTGGGTGGAAAGTCCACATTTGTCACCATAGTGACCACAGTCACAATGTCTTCTGTCGTTATAATGTTTGTTAGTCTTTGCATCTGAATAATCCGTTCCTCTACACAGCCCGCTGATAATCGAGCTTCTGCATCATGATCCCAACACTCTTCTATTGTTTCACAGAGCATTGCCATTCCCTAGAGAGAAACGTTAACAATAGATAAATAAAACCCCAATGACATTAAATGAAATAGTGGAATCTTTAAAGAGGTATCACAAAGTAATATTTGGATGAATTTAGGAACTGAGCAAAACTGCAACAAGGACGTCTGGTGAGTGGCAATACTCTTACGTGGGACTGCCTTTCGAAAAAGACTCAGAAGCAACAGTTGGTGCATAATTCCATATTTTATCACTAAGTCAGGCTGCAGAGAGCATATTATACTGGCTATCTGTCATCCCCCATGTCTAACCCAGTTTGCCCGTTACTACATGTAAAAGATCTGAAGGACTGGAAACTTGAATACCTAAAGAAGTACCTCACTGGAGGTCCCTAATGGTTTTCTTCAAATTTCAAAAGCTGCACTAAGCAGAATTTGGAACAGAAATTTCCTAATGATGGGTGATAAACCTGTAAAACTTTTTGAGGATCAACTAGGGCAAGGGGCTGAACCCAGAAGTGAGCCGTCCTCTCACTCATCCAAGATGGAAGGATTCAGCACTTGTTACCTTCAATGGTCCAAATTATGGCATTGGGAGGAGAAGGCGGGAGGTTAGGAAAAGAAGGTGGAAAATTGATAGCGGCAAAGGTTCAGCCAATAGTGGAAGGCTTTTTAATGTCAGAGAAAAAGGATGGGAGCGGGCTGGAAAGGATAAGAAAGGAGAAGAGAAGCTGGGGATTGGAAGAGTGGAAAAGCCCAGAGGTAGAGGGTGGAGAAGAAGGCAAGATGGTCCCACAAAGTGCAGAAGGACCCTATGTATTCTCCTTTGTTCACAAGGGGGGAGAAAAAGGACAATCGTGAGAGGAAGGTTTCGAAGGTCAAGGAAGGTGGGGGAATTGATATATAGTTAGGAGAGGTAGAGCCGCTGGAATGGACCTATCCAAGAGGGAAAGGTCCCTGGAGGAAGGTGGTGCATCCAGACCCAATACCAACCGGTGTGACGCACCCCGAAAATGATTGGGCTCTACACCCATGTTGCAGGACTATTTGTGCAGTGAGAAGCCATGCCATGCAGAAACCTACTGATCATGAGAAATTTGGAATGGCCCCTCATTAAAGGGCACTTTCGGGATTACATGAAATATGGCCTGAGACATCACTGGTTGCTGGTCCTGCTGGACCCACTGAAGTTGTTGTTCATACAACTCCGTTAAAAGATATTAAACTGTTATATAATGTTGCCCCATCTCCTGTGGTGACTTTCTTAAAGAATAAGGAGCCGCCTGTCTTAAAATTGGAACCCAATCACAAACATCCAGGCTAGATACTCACCAGCTAGCTCCATTTTTTTCATTACTTCCACACAACCAAAAATGCCTATTTTTAAGGGCTTGAGGGGCGAGGGGGGAGGTTTGCAGGCAAAATTCATACTGGAATGGCATGCACTTCTGTTTTTAACATTTACTGAAGTTCAGGATTATTGTAAAATGTGCTGAATATATCCAATTGTTCTAACATGTAAAAAAGCAACAAAGTAAAAGAGCAAGCCAAGGTTCACCCCAAAAAACATTTTAGAAATGGGTAGTCACTGAGACGACTGAACTACTTTTTACATACTGTATTAGTGAAACATATGGTTTGTCACTATTTCAGAAACATCCTATTATACGTTCCTCGCTAGTTTGTTTTTAAAAAGTTGAAAGAACAGGTCATCCTGATTTTAACTATGCAAAGAGATAAGTTGAGCGGGAGAAACCACACCAAAAGGCTAAATTCTAGCTGACTTTTATACAACAATCTGAAGGACGTTCTGTAGAATGCATTTCTACAGAAATCTATAGAACTAAACTTTACTGTGGAGATTTAAGCTGCAGATTTAGGCTGCAGATTTACAGTTTCTTGGGGGGGTATCCATTTATTTAAGGTCCTCACTCAGGGAAAGTCTGTTGTCACAAGGCCTGACCCTTGTAAGTGCAGAAACCTCCAGAACAGAGCAGCAAAAATGCAGCATGCAGATCGAGCAGCAAAAATGCAGCATGCAGATCTGGTGAAGGCCTAGATCTTGAGAACTCCAAGCCTTTCCAGTCCCTCAACAATCTGCAAAACACAAACAATGCAATCCCAGATCCAGAACTGGCATAGTTAATTTCCATTCCACTGGAATTAACTGGGGGAGGAGCAAGTGAACAAAGTGGGGAAGTAAAACACTACTAATTCAGCATCACCTTACTCACTACCAGCAAGAACCCAGAAAGACAGAGGAAAAGTGAATTATACATTTCAGCTCCTTCACCCATTGCTTCACATGATTGTTCTGCCCCATGCAATTAACATATTTGTCCATGTATAAGATGCCCCCCTTTTCTAACCCCAAATTAAGAAATCAATATTTTAAATATAAAACAGAACACATTTTTATGTAGTCATTAGGTAACATTTACATACCAGTACTGTCATATTATGCATCACACTTTAACTTTATTCAGCCTCTGGGCTCAGAACACTTCTGAGCACTGCCTACATGCTCCACCTCCGAAGTGTGTTCCAATTGGTTTGTTCAGCATCAGCTGGCGTCAGTTACATAAGGCCTGTGATTGGAGGAAGCTAAGTCTCCTGACTGTAGGAAGCTAAGCCTCATGATTGAAGGAAGCCTGTTTGCAGAGGCAAGGTATGGGCAGTTTTGTAATCATGCAGTTCTTTCCTTGGCTTACTTCTATGTATAAGACAACCCTCAATTTTTAGTCTAGAGATTAGACAAAAGTATCATTTTATACATGGAAAAATATGGTATATTTGTGTTCACTGTACCCATCACTTTTCTCCTGAACTTTCAAGGAGCAGGCTAGATGGATAAACAGAATGTTACTACATGCAAATAGACTAACTATATTTAAATGTTTTAAGAAACATCTAACTGCATTGTCTGCTCAAAAATGAAGTATTCAAATATCTTGAATATTTCTCTGAGGATCTAAAAAATAATTCTATAAGTAGAAAACCCAACATTAGATGAACTGTAATTTAGGTTTCAAATAGAACCCACAATATTACTCTGGAAGTATTAACATATTACTTACAGCATGCTTCTGCCAACACTCTCTTAAGACAGGTCTCTTCTTTTTATGTACAACAACTTCCTGCATATCTTCAAGAGAAGGATGCTGGCCCACCTCTTCCTCAAAAGGCAACATATACTCATCCACAGGTCCTGTATTTTTTTAAAAAGTAATGCATTTTTAGGTAGGCCTCATATAACTTGGTATCATAACTCTATTCTGGTAAATGTATTAGACAATGCTGAAATTTAGTGATTTGCCTATGCATGCTTTGTTTCAAGGTTTAATACCATCATTCAGAACACCTTCTACACAAGAATTGCATAATACTTTAAATACATTAGAAAAGACTGAGCTAAAGATTTTTCCCCAAGTGTCTTAAAGACAATGTTCCACTTACCATCTGATGCAGTACATCGTGATGCTAGTTCCCACAGGACCAGTCCCATGGCATACATGTCTATCCTCAAAAATGCATCCCTTTGGAAGTTTATAGCACCTTCTAATACTTCTGGAGCCATGTATCTTCGGGTGCCAACCTTGAAAAAAAGACCATTAGGTTTTAGGATCATATAATTCAGTGTTTAAAACTTACAAATATTCAGCAGGCGTTCAAAATTTTACAGTTTACTCTGAATTAGCTCACCATCTACACCAAAGTGCATTCAATACTGGCCAAAATCCTATTGTTAGTGCAAGCATAAATAGCACAACTTTTGCCACAAGTTATGAAATCAATGCAAGCATTATCTGTTGAATACAAAGTCACACCGCTCACTGCATAACAAAGAACATCATTGGAACTGGAACTTGCAGCAATTTATTACTCGCAGTTACACCATTTGTCCTACTCTAGCAAAAGGCTTTTCCCACTGTTGCTTGAACACGTAGGTCAGACTATTACATAATAAAGGCACTTTAAAAGGCTTTGGAAGCTCCTTTGTTTGGTAGCTTTTTTGTGTTGGTAGGTGGGCCTCAGTACAGTGGTGCCTCGACTTACAAACTTAATTGGTTTCGGAACTCCAGTTGTAACTCGAAATGGTTTTAAGTCGAAGCACCATTTCCTATAGAATTGCACTGAAACATGATTAATCTGTTTCAGACAAAAGGGGGGGAAGAAAAAAAAGAACAGCAAACAAACCGTGCAAGACCCATCGGAAATGCAAAAAAAGCAAAGCAGAGAGCAACTAAACTGTGCAAGACCCATCAGAAATGGGGGGAAAAAACCAAAAAGCAAACAAACCCGGAAGAGCCATCAGAAATGGGAAAAACCCCAAAAAACAAACAAACCCTGCAAGACCCATCACAGCATAGAAACATTATTTATTTNNCGCCCATCTGCTCTATGCAACCACTAATCCTACCACCCAGCCCAAAACCACGCTGCAAAACAGTTTTTAAAAAGCAGAAAACAGCACCTTACCTTACCAGGCAGTCTGAAGCCTTCTCCGATCACACTCAGTCTAACTGCTGGGGCGAAAGAGCTACAAAGAAGCAGCCTCTTCCCCTACCAACGGTTAGCAATTTGAATTTCCCGCCTTTTTCCCCTTCCTTTTTCTGTTTGTAACTGGAAGCTCCGGTCACATGTCAGAGCAAAATTTTGCAGCCGGAGCTGGTCTAATTCGAAATGGTAATAAGTCAGGACATTTGTAAGTTGAGGCACCACTGTATTCCTGGTGGTGATTTGGGGGGTGGGTTTGCCATCCTTAGCTCACAGCATCACTTGCCACTGTTTTGTCTGAGAATGTGAGACCCCTATGTGATGGGACTTCTTTTTTGTCTTTGCATTTGTCTGACAGGGATAGGACTTACACACCGTGAGAACGCATTAACTAGTTCTCTCATAACTGGACTGCAAACCATTTTAGTTCATAAATTATGTAGTCTTTTCTTCGATTTTAAAGAAGCATCTTCATCTTTCCTACTACCATTCAGGTTTCCTTCCTGATATCTCAATATCTTCATAACACTGGTTTATGAAGAACCTCTCCTGTTGCCTCCATATAAGTCTGTCTATGATTATCCTTCCTTTGGGTTCATTTAATGGATCCAGAAGATTTCTTTTAGTGTTGCTTGCCCAATGTACCTTGTTAAATTTTAGTCTGTTAAATTGCTGTTTTCATCCTCACAATCAAACCAATTTAAATGTCTCTGTACTCTCACTGTGATATTTATGTTACCCTTACAGTCACTTTCCCAATGTCTTTTTGCTTAACTGGTACATGAACAGCATCATATATTTCTCTCCTTACAATTTAATGCCTTCAGAGGCCACAGAAAGGATAGTTTCATGGTTGTTACACGCATGTAGCTATAGTTCTATGAGTGGCCATCTATGCTTTCACAGAATCTGCCCCCCACAGGCCTAGCTTTTCACTTGAGCTTGTGGCAGTCTTCAGGTAACTGGGAAGGAGCAACATGGCCCTGCCTCTTAACCATAGTCTGTTAGTGGATAAAAACTGCCAGTTCTGCTGAGGTCAAAACGTTTCAGAAATGCTATATTGCACAAGCACAGATCCAGAATGTCTGATGGCACAGAGGGCAGCTTAAAAAACTAGTTACCAACTAGCTACCAGCCAGTCTTTAATAAGAGTAAAATTTTAAAATTGGCTCAAAAGGCTTTAAACTCACCTGACCATGTGTGTCACCTGCTGACTTCCCAGCCTCAAATTTTAAAGCAAGACCAAAATCAGCAATACAAGCTGTAAGATTATTTTTCAACAGCACATTCTTGCTTTTGATGTCCCTTGAAAAAAAAATCAAGAACAACCATTAAAAAAGAACTTCTATGCAAATCAGAAATGTTTAAAAGTCTTGCAGGACAGAACATCAAATGACATTACATCTGGATTGAACTCATTGTATGTTTTTTGAAGTTGCACTATCACAGAAGATAACATTAAATATTGTAATCCTAAAGTACTAGCAAAAGTAATATATCCTGTCTACATTTAGGATGTACAGTAGGACTGCTGTATCCATGGGATCAGTATCTGCAGTTTCATTTATCTGCTGCCTGAAAAAAATAAAACGCAGAAATACACAGTCCCAATGTGTATTACCAGGACTGGCCACTACAGAAATACACAGTCCCAATGTATATTACCAGGACTGGCCACTAGATGGAACGAGAGACTAAGGTGCCTTAATGGTAATATACTTGTGGTCTGACATCTCTGAAGAAAGTAGTTTCCAGTGAAATGGAGAAGCTGCATTTGTGGGTGAGGGCAGGTGGAGGCAGCAGTTGCTGGCTTCAGGGAAGCCTTTCTTGTAAAGAGGAAAGTAGGAAACCCAGTTCTTTGGCAAGACTGGGCCAGGATTCCCTCTCTCAACCATGCACAGACATGAAAGAAACTGAAAGTAAATGCTTAATTTATCCATTATTTCCAGCATCCATAAGGGAGCTTGGAACTGATCCCCATGGATACCACAGTCCTAGTGTAATGACAGCTGCTCAGATAATGTATACAACAACATACCTATGGGATATGGCTGGTTTATGCCCATCTTTTAGACCAGGAATATCTTCATGAAGGTACGCCAAACCTCTAGCCATAGTTTCAGCAATGTGACACAATTCATTCCATGAAACTACATTAGCCTTCAGAAAGTCAGTAAGCGAGCCCTAAACAATGGAGATTTCAAAAACTGTATCTTATTTCTTATTAACAAGTGTTCAGCATATTTTCCCCTTCTAAATTGATTTTAACAAGTTACAAAGTAACCATATTCCAACAACATCAAAGCAAATTTAGACCTTTCTCATACGTTTATAGTCCAAACTGCACAGGCTTCTCCTTATCCACTATATTCAACATCAAGTCAGCAGCATATCTTCACTGATGATACATATGCAATACATTTTTGATGCAGCTGAAAGAAATTATGCTTGTGTCCACCTTTGGCATGCAGTAGCTCTCATAAATGCCTGATTTGTGACACTATTTTCAACTGTGATGTGGAAAATCATCCTGCACTCTCAAATTTTATTAGATTATGTTGTCAGGAAACAGTTAACACTGCGCTTCGTCACAGATAAGGTACATACGGCTTTAGAAATTATGCAGTGCATAAAAATTCCCAGACGGCACAAGCATCTTTTTAAAAACATCTGGCTCACATCTGCAGTTCTATTCTAGATACAGACAGATCGAAGGCACTCTACAATATTTTATGATCCCTGAGACTACTGAGTGGGAAACTATGGAGGTACATGGGCAAGCAGCATGCCTTTTCAAATGTTTGTGAAGCAGAAGTGAAAGTAACATTAAAAGGCATTGAAATCTATTTCTTTACATCACACAGTCTATTTACATACACAGAAAGGGTCTAAATAGTTTTATGATAATTATATAACTTAAAATGAGAAATAACCAAATGAAACACCTTTTCATGAAATGCTGTTATGAGCCACAAATCAACATCAATATTGGTTCCTCGTTTCTCAGCACCAATAAACTGTAGTATATTTTCATGTTTCATTCCAGGCAAACTGTATATTTCATATTCGTTCTGCCACGACTGTTTGTCCTAAAAGCAAAAATTAAGCATATTAATATTCAAAATTACCTACTGTAAATAGCTTTTATACTTTGTATAACATTGCTTCCACAATTCACTGTTAAAATAAACATCAGTTTAACAGGATACTACTAAGGCCCACTAACACCCAAGATTACAACTACATGTCCACAAGACCACGTTAATGCTCATTTAAGATTTGCACTATAGCAGGGATGGAAAACATGTGGCTTTCCAGACATTGTTGGACTGAAATGCCCATAATTCCTCAACACTAGCTATGCTGGCCGATTCCAACAACATCTGAAAATGACACTCCTCATCATGAACTATCATTAAAGATGCAGGCAATTGACTATTAAAGATATAATGTAATCATACATGGCAGTACACTCAATTACACTTGACCCTAAATCCTACAATTTAACAGCTGGCTTCTACCACCCTGTTTTACTGCTGTCTTGTATTGAAAAATGTCATGATCTATTTTGAATATGTGTTACAGGACAGAATACAGTGGTGCCTCGCTTAACGATTTAAATTGGTTCCAAAAAAATTCATCGCTATGGGAAAACATCACTAAGTGAAACGCGTTTTCCCATAGAGATGCATTGAAACCTGGATAACCTGTTCCAATGGGAACGGATTATTATTTATTTATTTATTTATTTATTGGACTTCTATACCGCCCCATAGCGCTGCAAGCACTCTCCGGGCGGTTTACAATTTAATTATACAGGCTACACATTGCCCCCCCAGCAAGCTGGGTACTCATTTTACCGACCTCGGAAGGATGGAAGGCTGAGTCAACCTTGAGCCGGCTACCTGGGATTTGAACCCCAGGTCGTGAGCACAGTTTTAGCTGCAGTACAGCGTTTTAACCACTGCGCCACGAGGCTCCATTTGCTTGGTGCTGCAAGCAAAGAACCTGTCCTTAAAGTTGGCTTGCTCCCACTAGGAAGGATTGAATCAAACCTGATTACATCCGTTTCCGGATTTGTCCACTTTTGGTTTCACTCCCATTTCCTGATTGGTTTACATTTTTTTAAAAATCTTCACAAAAATGTCTGTGCATTTCCATGAGCATTTCGTTCACAAAAATAAATGGTTCATCTTTCAGTTAGTGGCCAAAATTTAGAAACATGCAACAAGTCTGAGGCTTCTCTTCCTTCCATGCATACAAAAAACTCCTCCTGTACTGCTTCAAACCAGGTGTAAATACAAGGGAATGTTATGTATTTACATAATAATTAATAAGCAAAACAGGATTAGAACCAATAATTTGATCCTAGATTTGTTACGACCCAAATATGGTTTGCAAATCATAGTTTTCAGCATTTAGATATAATGGGCAGTATCAGTTTGTTTTAAAGTAGTTTTATTTAGTAAAGAGTAATATACAGTGGTGCCTCGCACAACGGGTGCCTCACACAACGATAAATTCACACAACGATGCCTTTTTCTGTTAAATTTGCTGCCTCACACAGCGATGTTTCCTATGGGGGATTTTCACACAACGATCTCCATTTTCGCTCCTGTAAAAGTGTCTTACAATGTTTGG